TTCAGCATCCTACACCAAGTTCTCCACTCCAGTGGGAAACATCACAAGTTATATATGTTCATGTGTCCACTGCAGGTTTTTTCTTCTTATTGTAGAAATAGGAAAAATTGTTTCTCTTGTATGATGCCTCCATCAAAAGTAGTAAAAAAAAAGAAAAGACTGAGAGAACAAATTATTTCTTACCCTTGGCCTAGCCAGCTTTACTTATATTACATGCCTGGCCTCTTTCTATATATATTTGAATTTGTGACTTTGGATAAATACTATATACTATTTTGTACATATGCCCAAGCATGTCTAAATTCTAGTGACCCCAACATATATGCATGGATCTAAGCATATTTGTAGAAGTGCATGAATTGGCTGGGTTTGTTTGAATTTTAAGTCAATCAACTCCACATACTCTCACAACGAAGTCATTATTGTTGAAGGTGAGATTTCAATAAGAGTCCAGTCTGGATTTTCCTTAACTATAGATAAAATACTGCAATACTGGGCTATGTAGCAAAGCATGGGTAAACTTATTGAAGAGTCTACTAAGACGGCAATCTGTCCTGGAGGTAAACAAATTATAGCACATTTTATATTTGAATGAGTTAACAGTGATAATTATGGAAGTATCCAGAAGCTGTGGGGTTATTTCTGTGCTTTTTCTCTTCTCCTTTGGTTGAATGAAATTAGTAAAAAATCAAAGGATTAAGAAGTTTATGAAAGTTTAATAGAATGAACGTTATATTTCTTTTGGGATACTGTTGGTTGCATAGCGAGGGGACTCAGGAGACAGAGTTGTCCAGACAGGGGCTCTTATCTGAATGAGCTGTCCTATTTGTTCTTGTGGTCATGTTGTGATGACCACAAGTTAATAAGGGCTGTGAAGACACTGAAATGGACAAGGTGTCTCACGTGGTTGTCACTTTGCACTATATACTTGGGCCTAGGGAATGCCATCAGTGACAATAGAAATAATGGGCTGACAGACCTCTAAGTCCTCCCTTCTCTAGACTTTTGATTCCTTGAGGGCTCCTGATGCGGTGATACATAGGCTGAGTTAGAAGCACTGGATGCTGGGATGAGAGGTAGGGACGTCTCTTTATATGATGATGTTGATGTTGGGAATTATTGTGATAATAGTAATACTGGTTATCATTTACAGAGTATCTTCTGCAGATAATTTTTTTTTACAAATTATCTCCTTTAATTTTTGCAATAAGTTATTTAGATATATGCTCGTTTAATTCCCATTTCGAAGAACTTGGAGCTGAGGCTCAGGGGGGTGCAGTGACTTGTTCAATGTCATATTGATACCTGGACACAGGTTTGTCAGAAGCTAATGTTGTTGATCTTAGCCGTTGGGTTCTTCTATCTCTCTTTAAAACCTAAGATTATGCCCTCAGAAAGGAACAGAGATTTGAAAGCAAATAGAGCTTTCTTCAGTTAAAAAAAGAAATGTTGCTAGTTTTCTCTAGGTTCAGTTGCAGTTTAGCCTCCAGTTTCAAATTTGAGGTAAGACAGGTTTCAGAGGCTTTCCACGTTCCTATCAGATACGGGCAAAGAACCTGGGTCTACTTGAAAAGGTTACCCTCATCCTGAAAAAAAAAAGGAGTATCATTTTCTCTTCAGATCTTTTAATAAAATAAACATGCAATTTGGGCAACTTATAGAACTTTCTGGATAAGGAAGAATTTAGCTGATGTCTATCATTCATGTATTCTCAGTGATTTCTTGAATATTTTCCTTTCCTTACAACTTTTCAAAAAGAAAAATGTTGAATTGGCTGAGCGCAGTGTCTCATGCCTGTAATCTCAGCACTTTGGGAGGCCAAGGCAGGCCAATCACATGAGGTCAGGAGTTCGAGACCAGCCCAGGCAACATGGTAAAACCTTGTCTCTACTAAAAATACAAAAATTAGCCAGGCATAGTGGCATGTGCCTGTAGTCCCAGGTACTCTCGAGGCTGAGGCAGAAGGATTGCTTGAATCCAGAGACAAATGTTGCAGTGAGCCGAGATCTTGGCACTGCACTCCAGCTTGAATGTCAGAGCAAGACTCCATCTCAAAAAAAAAAAAAAGAAAGAAAGAAAAATGTAGGCTTGTGAGATGTTCATTATGGAACTACTGCATTTATTGTATTGTCTATTTTAAAACTATTTCTGTATTTCTAAGAACTTCTATAAAGGACTTTGTAGAAATAAGGTGATATATTAATTTAATGTTTTCAAGTTGCAGGGGCTTTTGTATTTTTCTGGCTAAAACCTACAGAGGTTATAGTAGTCATGAAAAATTTGATTAATAAACTTACTAATTTTCCCCTTATACAACACTTCCTTTTCCAAGGAATTTTAGAAGTGTATTGCCAAATACATTAATGTTTGTCTATATGTGCCTTAATATATGAAAACTTAATTTTGAATCCAGTTTATTTACTATGTTAAGACAAGCTTAGAAAGTGCAAAATGTTGCTAAGCAAGTGTGGATATATTTGTTATTTACCACTTTATTCAATTAAAACTTTTCAGCACCTACAATATAGAGAGATTTACTAGACCTAAGGCATGTCAAGACAATTATGGAGCCTAGGAGTCACCAGACATAAATTAAAATTACTTAACTTTTTCTTTCTCTAGTCAAATCTCTGACCTTGTTTACGCAAGAGAAGTACAGACAATATGGCTCTAAAATGGCTTTTCAAGCTCCAATGTTCATTATTTACAGTCCAGAGAGAGCTGAGAGGAACTAAAATATTTTGAAGGAGTGATCTTATCTTCCCTATAAGACCAGGCCAGTTCCCACTGGCTAAAATTTTTGGCATAAAGACATGGTTTAGCAATTTAAAAATTCAGGATAAAAATACACCTATAAAGGTAGAAACCTTTATAGTAGAAGGTGAGTAGAAGAGTAGAGTAGAAGGTGTTGGAGGCATGAGAAGGGAAGAGAGAAGAAAAATCTCTAGAAGATTCTGAGCAGTAAGAACACATTTGATTGTTTTCTTCTAGCTTCTCCCCTTGTGCTGCTGCCCTTTTCTTTTTCAGTTGAGAGGAGCTGACACTTGAAGTCTTTCTGGCTCTGTGCCCCCTTTGTCTGCCTTTTTCCTTCTGGAATGCATATGCCCTGAGCTCAGGGAGTTAAGTTTCCTTAAAAGCAGCAGCTACCTCAGAGGGCATCCGTGTTTTTTTCTAGACCCCCTTTTCTCCAGTCAAATGTATCAACTTCTGTGACTTCTTCACCCAAACATCACTTCAAATGTAGATAGGGCTATTATTTTTCCAGCAACCATTATCCCTGAATAGAGTACATTTTTATGCATAACCATATTTTGCTTTGAGGGTTTCTAATGCATTTCTGAGCATCTGTATTTATATTTCAGGTATTTTCTCTATGACATTCTTGTGATTGCAACTGAAAATGCATGCTTATATTTGACTAGTACAATTGTTTCTTCTAATTTGATGTGATTTGTCTGCACAGTTCTGCGTCCTGATTTTATACTGCTTTCCATGCACTGGATTGTCACAAAATGTCAATCACAAGTCTAAATCTATTTTCTTGGTCTCCCACAGGGTATCGTGCACTGGGGGCGTTGAATAAATGTTATGGGCTCATAAATTTGAGAGTTTATTATCTAGAGGCTGGGGAGCAGCCCTTTTCTATCTCTGAACAGGATAGAAGAGGAAACTAGCTTGAATGGCAGGGGAAGATTAAGGTTAGATAGAAGAAACAGCTTAAACTTTGTAAGGACTTTACAGAAGGAGATTGTGGAATCATTCTTGAAGGTCTCTGAAGAAAAGAGAAAGTAATCTTGATAGACAGTCAGCTGCTCTGGGGACTGGGAAAGGAGAGGCAAGTATTGACATTCAGCTTGGCAAGTCAGGTCAATGACTTTACCTCCAGTCACGGAATCTTAGTCCATGCCTGGATAGTAAAATCATTAGCCATGTAAAAAAGGTAGCTATCATTTATTGAGTACAAAGCACTTTATAGTCATCTCATCTAAATCCTACAATAATCATTCAAGTGGATATTATTATCTTAATTCAAAAATGAGGAAACTAAGACATAGTGGGTTAAATAACTTGGCGAAAATCATACAGCTGTTAAGATGGCAGAACTAAGATCAAAACCCAGATCTCCTCTGAACCCAGAGACTATGCTGCCAGTAATTACTTGCTATGGAACCCTTTAGAGAGGGATCAAATATCAGCAAAGATGCCAGTGGGCAGCCTTGGATCTGTGGAGAATATTTGGCATTAATATTTGCAGCCTTAGCAACTCACCAGAATCTACCAACTTACTAGGCTTGGGCTGCAGTTTTATACACGGTAGACATTCACCACACGCTTGTTGACTCATTCTCAAAACCTAACCTGGTGATTTTAGGATATGGAGGATAACCCAGTGCAAATCTTTGCTAAACCTTATTGAATGGCATCAGGATCTAAGACCTATAATTATCAATGGGCAAACATCATTTTTCAGGTATTTTGCAATGTTTTAAATGTAGGATCCAATGAGTTTATTGTTGCTTTTTTTTTCAAGGGGAGAATAAACAGCATCTAGTTTGTGGCTTTTGGAAGATTCTTGAATCTATTGGATGAATTAACTATTAGATGAATTAATGTAGTGATTTTTGGTCCTATTATCTTGGGAAAGATTTTCTCTTACTGTAGGAATGACATCAGAATCAGATAAAGTTGACTAAATGAATTCTATTTATTAACTTTTATTCCTGATCCTTCTGCGTTTCTATACTGACTTTTCCATCTATCTGTTTAAAATTATCTAAGAGTACTGTGGAGGTTTAATTGCATAGCAAATAGTTGAATTAATGAAATTGAATAAAAGATTAAACAAATGACAAAGATTTGGGTGGTATGATTAGTCAAACCAAATAAACCCCCACCCAAATAAATGAAAAAATAATCACCAATTAAATACTTTAAAAGCACTTTGTGCTAAAAAGAGAATATGCTAATAATTCTTTTCTTGCTTTAAAAAATATTGACAGTGGCCCTGGAAGGGATTTGGAGCATTAAAAGGAATCTCCCTGTGGGAGGCTTGAAGCCAGGACTGTCCAGCAGAAACGGTTTATTGCCACAACCCAAGTACTATTCCAGGCACGGAGGACTAAGAAGTAAGACCCTGATCCCCTTGACTTCCACTGAGGCCCCTCAGGGGACTCTGCTGTTTACAAACCAGTGGTATATGCTCTGTTTAAAGATCTCAATCAAAATTCAGCCTTCCTTTGACTTGTTTCTTGAATTTCTTTCAGTTTTGCCATATTATGTAATTATGGAGCTCAAATAATAATAATTCATATAACCAGTTTACCCCCATGGATACAACAGAAGTTCATCCTCTGAGTTATACTCATGACTTTTTTCCTTGACTTTCTATTGATACGAGACTTTCTAGCACACAGTCAACCTCTGTGAAGAGAAATCCTGCACTGTCTTTTCTTCTAGGTAGATGATTTTTGTTTCCCAGTGGAAATGAGGAAAGGGAAATGAGGGAATGAAGGAAGAACATGGCAGCCACTTTGCTTGGCTCTCTTAGTTTCACCCTATTTTAAGAATGAGGCCACCAGAGTTGGCCCAGGACACTGTTGTTCCTTAGTAGACATAAACTTCGGAACAAAATATTAGTCATTCCTTACTGTCATAGCCAGTGTCTGCCAGAAATATTTGTAGCAGAGTGTGGGGAAGACAGAGGTCTTCATATGGAAGCACAGTGTCCGGATAATCTAGGGACATGCAGCTACGTACATGAATCCTCAGAACAGACCTACAACTGGGAGATTTCCATGGGTAAAAAGGGAGAAGTAGATAAAATTCAAGCTTGGGTACTCAACTAAGATGTGAATCATAATAGCAATGCTATATAGCACTGCTTATTCTAGAGTCTTAACATATACAATAATAGCCCGGGCACAGTGGCTCATGCCTCTAATCCCAGAACTTTGGGAGGCCTGAGGCGGGCAGATCACCTGAGGTCAGGAGTTCAAGACCAGCCTGGCCAACATGGTGAAACCCCGCCTTTACTAAAAATACAAAAATTAGCCGCGTGTGGTGGTGCGCACCTGTAATCCCAGCTACTCGGGAGGCTGAGGCAGAATAATTGCTTGAACCTGGGAGGCCAAAGTTGCAGTGAATTGAGATTGTACCACTGCACTACAGCCTGGGTGACATGGTGAGATTCCACCAAAAAAAATATATATACATACATATATATATATATATATATATTATATATATACATTTTTTTCATATATATTTCAGGGAGGTGAAATAATTTACCCAGGGTGACTCACCTAGTAAGTAGAAGAGTAGAAATGCTGATATTTGGACCAAGGCAGCCTGTCTCCAAAGTCCATGCTTTCAACAACTAGACACTACTGCATCTCTGATCTAAGTGCCCACAAGCTAGGATGCCTATTGAACCCGAAATGAGATGAGAGCTCAATAAAAGTGCCACACAGGAGTAAAGTCCCCAGGAGGCCAGGGATGTAGCCTCTGGGTATGAATTCAGTAAAGAAAAAAATATAGCCACTAAGAAACTGAGACAAGAGGTTAAAAAAAACAAATAAATACAAAACTTGTTACTAAAGGGGATTCACGTAGCAAACAGGAACCAGTTAGGAAGACTTTGGTTTAATGATGATAAAGCGTAGTAGCCACCATTTATCATGTGCCAGGCATGGCAGCAGGTGTTTTATATAGTTATGTAATCCACATGATCATATGAGCTGAGGATTATAATCTCCATTTTCTGGGTAAGAAAACTGAGGCATATAGAGACATCCACTGCCTAAGATTCCATGTCTAGGAGGTAGTGGAGCCAGAACTACAAACCCATTTCCATCTGGCTTCCAAGACTATGCCCTTAGTTCCAAGACTATGGCCCAAGACTACTGGGCCATCATGGCAGAGAATCTAGTCACTGTGCAACAAGCAACAGTTGTGGCATTGTGGTTAAATAGGTACAAATGCCAGGGATATGGGAACGCAAAGTTTTAGGAATCTGAGAGGCAGCTACCTTCATAATTCACAAAGATATTAGTGTCCCGAAGTAATGGTTGCATCAACCAAAGTCTGGGCCACTTGCCTATTGTAGGCTATTTATCTCAACTTTCCACTCAATTTCTTAGGTTCCACTTATCGTAGGTAAATCCATCATTCCAAGAAAACTCACAAAGTAATTCGTTTTAAAGATGAATGGTTTTCTGTGCACATATTATGAGACTGATTGAATAACAAATTACTTCTATTTGAAGACATACAAGTCCAATAAATTATCTAATTTATCAATTGGGGACGTATGATAAAAAATTATGTTTCATTTTGACCATAATTGCATTACTTTCATCCATACAATTTAAGAGATATTTTACAGCTCCCCCTCATTTTTACTCATCCACTCTACCTTCCTAATAGCCCTCAGCCCTCTATTTATTTCCAGCAGGTGCCAAGACCTTACAGTGGTCACGTTACAATATGTAACTGTTATTGACCTACAGCTTAGCTTCATCTCTGTAGGTGGCCCACTGCATTTTTGTCTTACCATATGAACTGCTACTATCTGCTGTACAATCACAATTGATCAATCTATATGTAAGATTGATAACCAATAATTTAGACCTTTCTCATTATGAATTAAAAAAAGGAAGATGGTAGGCACACAAATATCATAGATGAACAAAATCCACAGATAACTTCCAAAAACTGTCAGTAGTAATTAATATACTATCAAAAGCACCATGAAGGCAGGGACTGAGTGTTTTAGTCAACACTGTGTATCTGGCACTTAGCACAGTGCCCGGCACAGTAGGTACTCAATTGCTGTTAGTCATGAGAATGACCAATTAATGAATGAATCAGTGAGAATATGTTAAATCCCTTCTTTATGTTTAGAACCTTCTTGCTGTTAACTCACATACATCCGTCACTCCCTCAAAGTATATAGTTTTCTCTACTTGAGACTGCTAAACTAAACCAAATGCAAACAATAGAGGGAAAAGCAGTGCAACCTACTGTCTTCAGTGTGTGACTCATGAAAAGTTGCATATATTTTAAATACATCTTGGAACCAACATTTTCAAAGAGTGGTCTTCTGTGGATTACAATGAGTTTTCTAGGAACTTCTCCCATAAAGTATGCTACAGTAAGATACTTCAGTCAAATCTCGCTGTCAATTGAAACAATTCGCTTGTGCTTTCTCGTGAACAATGTGATTATGATGACCATGGTAGTTAGGACTTTTCCAACAAATAATATACATCATTTAAAGTTTAAATTTAGAACCATGATCATCCAACTATAGTTCTAAAGCATGTTTCCATTAGACTGTGAAGCATCTACTGCTTTCATCACACTAAGAAGTTTTATTCATTTACTTTTATCAATCCCAGCACTCTGGGAGGCCGAGGCAGGTTGATCACTTGAGGCCAGGAGTTCAAGACCAGTCTGGCCAACATGGCGAAACCCCATCTCTACTAAAAATTCAAAAATTAGCAGGTGGGTGACACATGCCTCTAGTCCCAGCTACTCAGGAGGCTGAAGAATGAGAATCGCTTGAACCTGGGAGGTAGGGGTTGTAGTGATCTAAGATTGTGCCAGTTCACTCCAGCCTGAGTGACAGGGCAAGACTGTCTCAAACAAACAAAACTTTTTATTGTTTCCTTCTTATTCTGTGCCATAAAACAAGCCAAAAAAAAAGTGTTTTCTAGTCTGGTGCTAAGCTTGAATGTGCCTACAAATCACATGGTATCTCAATAGAATTCAGAGTCTGATACCATAGGTCTGGGGTGGGGTCTGAGATTCTGCATTTCCAACCAACTCCCAGGTGATGCTGATGCTGCTTGTCTGGAAACTATGCTTCAGTTGTGAGGGTTTGGAAGACTGAGTAGTGGCTTTTCCGGGTACTGGTATGACATGGCTATGGCTCTTACATTCTGCTCTATCAAATGGGAACATGAGATTAAAAAGCATCTTCCCAAAGTAAAACATTTATTTTTTCATGTTTTTTTAACTCTAGGATAAGATGAGTAGAATTTTCCATTAACAAGGAACCTCTTTTTGCTGATATCTGAAGAACAGAGAAGAAACTCAAGCTTGTTTCAGGATTTAAGATGCGTGCAAAAAATATATGAAAGCCTGTAATTACTATTATCGGTATTAATACCTATCTATACGTTAATCCAAAGTAATGAAAGACTATTGGAAAAGTTCACTAAGCACCTGAAAACTATAAAGGAAAATATTATATTTGTTTTTAGTTGTCACAGAATACATTGGGCTTCTAATTCTGTTCATTTTATTAAACATGTGAAACAATGATGAAACAAAGGCAAATTTACTGAGTATTTACTTCAAGGCAAACATTATAAACCTTAACCCTCTACTACAGCATAATGTGTTAGCCCATTTTTAAAAAGCAGAACTAAATCCAGATACAGATAATGGTGAGTAAATGAATGACACAGACAAAAAGCCTTTGACTCAGAGATAAACATTTTTATGCTAACCTTGATAGAGCTAATCATTACTCTAGAACTTGTTCACTAAATAGTAAGGAGCCAGGAAATTTATGGTAAGATCTTTTAAAAAGTATTTAGGCCAGGGGTGGTGGCTCACACCTGTAATTCCAGCACTTTGGAATGCCAAGAGGGCCAATCACCTTGCGGTCAGGAGTTCAAGACCAGCCTGTTCAATATGGTGAAATGCTGTCTCTACTAAAAATACAAAAGTTAATCAGGCATGGTGGCACACACTTGTAATCCCAGCTACTTGGGAGGCTGAGGCAGGAAAATCACTGGAACCTAGAGGTGGAGGTTGCAGCAAGCCAAGATCAGACCACTGCACTCTAGCCTGGGCGAAGGAGACTCTGTCTCAAAAAAAAAAAAAAAAAAAAAAAGTAATTTAAAGAATACTGTCAAGTTAAAAAAAAAGAAAAAGAGACTCTTCCTTTTCCATTATTTGTCAAAGTAATACATGTGCAATATAGAAAAAGTGGAAAACGAAGATATATAAAGAAAAAAAACTCATCTGTAATTCCATTTCCAGAAACAACTACTGAATTACATAATGTCCTGTTCATTAAAATATCATGTTAAATAATTACATAAATTCTTTATACATTCTAAATTTATTCATTCTTTATTTTTTGAATATTTGGGTTTTTCCAATTTTTCATTTTATACATAACTGTTGTGATTTGCTTACAATTCCAGCCCCGACCTCTTACAAAGTTATTTTTTTCTAGTATTATGGTTATACACTTTTCATTCTCCTTCCTCTCTAGGCTAAGCTCAGAAAACTTCCTTCTGTTCCGTGTTCCCAAGTTTATTATTCTTTTTAATGCAACAAATCAAGTTTAGTCAACAGATTTGTAGACTGGGTATGTCCCTTCCCTACTTAAAAAATATTTACACTGTGAAACAGTCAATAATCTTGAGTCAAGATCCACACCTTTCCAGATTTAATATAAAAATTTCCATTTAGTTACTGCTTGCTAGATGAGATCCTAAATGTAAGTCAATTCCAGCCACCACCTTGTTTATGGAACTTTTTCATCACTGGTTACTTCCAAAGAGTGTTGCAGGGCAATGCCTAAAACTGAGCGATTACATCTGAAATTGGTCAAGAAATATAACATCCAAAACTCCCTAGAGTTAGGGCAATGTATTTACTATTTGTAGACATCTAAAATCTCAAGCTTCTAAAAATTGTTACCACCAACCCCGTTGCATGTATGTTAGATGTCATACAGAAAGTGAAATGGGTGGGGGAGAATTGACTTTTGTTTATCCATTGGAAATGATGTCCTCTTCTTACTTGAGTTCTCACTACGACTTTATAAACATGCTCAGAGATTTCCTTTCTCGCTTCCACTATATTCCTGCCAATAAACAAGCTCCTTGCCATTTATTTTCAGATTTGTTGCCTGGGCTGGGTGCTCTCAATTGGTCTTTCCTTTTCTGACCGCCTCTGATACTACTTAAGGTTGTTCTCATGGCACTGTTTCAGTGTTAAAGTTTCATTCTTATTCCCCTCTGGGGACCTGGTTCCTTTTGTAGTTGAATTCTGTTCTTCACTGCCCCATTGCATATTTTCCCAACTGGATTCATGTACAGACATTATTTATAATAGTGAATAACTAAAACCACCTAAAATGCCCAAAGTAGGAGATGATTTCTAAAGTAACTATATAATATGATGCAACTGTTTTGTTTTGCTTTTTAACTCAATAAGTATTTTTCTTAATAAAGCAGGATTATAAGAAGGTTTCTTTAAAATTCTAAAAATATAGCAATCTTTTGCCAACAGTCATTTCCATACTTAATGGTATAATACCCTAGAAACACTTCTATTGTGATCTGAAATAAAAATGCTGTTTTTCCAAATTTGTTTGCAACTTGGTTACTTTCCCTTTTCATTTTATTTGCCTCCTAGCTCCAGAGTCCTTGAGTTTCAGGGCTCTTAGTCTCTATTTCTGTCTCAGTTTCTCTTTCTGTTTTAGGGTCCTCAGTTTCTGTTTCCTCAGAGTTTCCTTAGTTCATGCCAGAAATAGTCACTGCCAGTACTGGATAACTTGGTGTCATAAGGGCTTACAGCCTGCTTTTTTTTTTCTCTTACTCTGTTGCCTTGGCTGGAGCAATCATGGCTCACTGCAGCTTCTTGGTCTCAAGTGATCCTCCTGCCTCAGTAGTACTGTAATCCCACAAGTAGTTGGGATTACAGGCATGCACCACCATGCCCAGCTAATTTTTATATTTTTAGTAGAGACAAGGTTTTCCCATGTTGCTCAGGCTGGTCTCAAACTCCTGGGCTCTAGCGATCCACCTGCCTTGGCCTCCCAAAGCGCTGGGATTATGGGTATGAGCCACCATGCCTGGCCACAGCCCTCTAGTTAATTTGGCCAAATAGTCATGGCAAAAGCATCTTTGAAGTACACAGATTAAAGGTGGAAAATAAAAAATCAGGCCAGGCGCGATGGCTCACGCCTGTAATCCCAGCACTTTGGGAGGCCGAGGCGGGTGGATCACGAGGTCAAGAGATCGAGACCATCCTGGTCAACGCGGTGAAACCCCGTCTCTACTAAAACTACAAAAAATTAGCTGGGCATGGTGGCACGTGCCTGTAATCCCAGCTACTCAGGAAGCTGAGGCAGGAGAATTGCCTGAGCCCAGGAGGCAGAGGTTGCGGTGAGCCGAGATGGTGCCATTGCACTCCAGCCTGGGTAACAAGAGCGAAACTCCGTCTCAAAAAAAAAAAAAAAAAAAAAATCAAAATGATTGGGAAAACTATTTTCTTACAGCTGCATCTGTTGGGACAGATTTTTTTTAAAGACAACTTTTTAATCTTATTTTTAAAGAGCTGTATCCCATGGTTTATCTTATTAATACAACCTTTATCTTACAATTGAAATAGTTATAGAGATAGAAATTATCAAATGAAGAGACTTTTGGTTTTGTTTTAATAAAAGTACTTTCATATTATATACATTTTGTAAACCACATTTTTTCACTTAGCCATACATTATGAGCATTTTCCTATGTAATATATTTGTCTAAATTACGATTTTATAGGTTATATATCATTATATGGCTGTACCAAAATTTACTTAACCTCAGCCTTATTGATGACCATTCATTCTGTATCCAATTTTTCTACACTTGGTATTTTAAGGAGTATTCCAAACTCCTCCCACACAATGAATAGGAAACCCCTTATGTGTTCTTCATAGACTGGATTACTCTCTCCCTTATCCTGACAAAAATCTGCAAGTTTACACTCTGGAAGGAAGAAATCAGTAGGACTTTGGATGAAAATAGGGTGATCAATTTTGTAGTCAACATGGGCCATTTTAAGAACTACACCTCTTTAGTATCCAGAATGTTTCAGCTCCTATCAAAACATACATACACATACACACACACACACACACACACACACACACACACACACACACACGGATTAGAGGTTAACATGGATGAACCTGGAGGACATTATGCTGAGTATAATAAGTTAATTCCAGAAAGACAAATATTGCATGATTCCACTTACATGTGGAATCTACAGCAGTCAAACACATGGAAGCACAGAGTAGTTGCCAGGGGCTGGGGAAGGGGACTGCTGGGGAGAATGGGGGAGTTGCTAGTCAACGAGTACAAAGTTTCAGTTGTGCCAGGTGAATAAGTAGAAATCTGCTGAACATTGTGTCTAGAGAGCACGGCTTGTGACGCGTGGTTTTCTCTATACATGCTGTTGGTAACCAAAGAAATCCTAATTAATACAGCTGCCTTTAGTTTTATCTGGTTTAATTACAGTTCTTGCTTGGAGCACATGTTTGTGAGCTAAATAACTTCCTTCTAATTTATAATTCAACATCACGTCACCATAACTAAAGGAGAGAGAGTGGAAAGTATTGGGTGGAGCGACTCATGTCTACCTCCCTCCCCCAAAGGAAACTTGCTTCCCTTTAACTTGAATTTTTTTTTGACAGTCTGAAAGGCCTTGCTTAACAAATGGTAAATGGGAATGAGAAAGCTGCAAAGACAAGTGTCTAATTTTTCGCTCTGACAATAACACTTGATCAATACAGAAGTCATAAAGGATGAATTGATAAGACAATCAAGGGCATATGGTCTCAAAAGGCAACTGGTTAGGGTTACTGAAAGTCTAACACATTCACAACTTCAGACATCAAGCTTTTGATTCAGGTGTGGAATCGCTTTGAAGCTATAATTAAAACTGGTGGGTTGAGTATGATAGCTACCATGTCCCACAAGGGCAGATCAGTTACATCTCATATGCCTGGCACACAATTGGCATTCAGTAAATATTACTGAATGAAGTTAAAGCTTTTGCAGATTTGTAAGCCCAAATAAGATCTGGCCCTAAGGTACCCCTACAAATATCAATATAGAACAATTCTCAGTCCATTGCTTGGAAACACTTTGAAACTGGCACCATAAGCCTGCTAATGATAAAGAAGTCATGCCATATTATATAAAAGTAAATAAAACCTAAAGTATTTTATTTTTTAAGTAACTCAGCAAATACTAGGGTCATGATATCAAAATCTCTACTAGCAATCTTCATCAATATTTCTCAAACTGTGAATTGGGAAATGGGAGAACCTCAAAGGAGCCAAGGAAGCTAAATAGCTATTCAGTGGTGGAAATGATGAAGAGTGGGCTCAGTGAATGGGTGGTCAGAATGCAGCTACATTTTTCGTTGGAGAGTTGCCACTATTTCCATGCTGCCTTTGATGATCCAGGAAATTAAGTGTTTGAACAGTGAGCTCACTCAAGAGTGAGCTATCTTTTCATGCAGTGCCCAATTGTG